TTAAATCTTCGAGCACCAGTTAAGGATTAAGAAATTTTTTAATTATATTTATTGGACATTTAGGAATCTTTCAATTTTGTTCATTGTATATTGAAAGATTTTCCAATTTTGTTCATTGTATATTTAAACATTTTTCAATTTTGCTCATTGTCTAAAAATTTTGCAATTTTATTTGTTGGGAATTGAATTTTATTTTTGCTGGATATTCAAGAAACTTTTAATTTCGTTCACTGGATGTTTAATAAATCAATGGTTGCTGTTAAGGGTAAAGAGAAATTGTTTCTAAAGAAGAGAACGAAGATTCATTTTTTAGAACGGTTTCGTGAAACTGGGCAGGAACAATGGAGGAATTTAATGGGACAGTCGGAATGAAATTTTTCAATTACAGCACTTCCAATTTGCATTCGATTACAGTGAGTAGAAATGGTAAGCAACGCGCAGACAACATAGCTGGCGAGTGTTATTAGGGGTGGTTTTATAGCTCCCTCTCCAAAGCTGGACTTTAGGAATTTTTGTTACTAATTAATATAAATTTGTGAAACTTTACACGTTTGTTTATTGTTTAAGTACATTGGAGAATTTTTGTAGAATAAATTATTTCTGGAGGTCTGTTTCAGAATTGGTAATTAGGGTTTTATATTACAGTAAATTCTCCCTGATTGACGCTCAGATTGTGCACAAAAATGGACAATTTGGGAAAAAGAGATACGATTATATTTTATAGTATATATTATAGATATAGATTATACTTTGCAGATTAAAATTATATTTTTATATACAGATTATATTTTATATTTTATAGCTATTGACAATCGGCGACTATAAAAATGAGCTGCGAGGCTCGAATAATCGTATCTCCCTTTCCAAATTGTCCAATTTTGATCACAAGCTGAAGGAAAATTAGGGAGAATTTACTGCATCATTGTAAGCATATAAAAAATCAAGGAAACAAATTATTTACGTTAGAAAACGAACGGTTGACATTATTGTTTATGTAAATGTTCTCTTCACAGAATTATTGGGGCAGTACGAAAGATCCTAAAAAAAAATAATTTGCAATTTTCAGGCGAATCAATTACCTGATTCGACTTGAATTCGAGGAAAATTAATTTATGATTAATTAAAAGTGACAATACTGTTTGTTAATTGACACTCATAAGGGTCGGGTTTGCTGTCAAGAATCGTTATTCGGAATTGATATATTGCCTCGATTATTGCGATGACAGCGGATTTACTGATTTGTTTGTAATATAAAGGACGAGGATAGTAATTATAACGAGGCGTAGCTTACCGTCGACTCATCTTCGTGCAGCACTTGATCATATTCAGACATCGCGACGCAAAATATGATCGCAGTCACGTCCTCGAAGCAATGAATCCACTTCTTACGTTCGCTTCTTTGGCCGCCCACGTCGAACAATCTGAATAACAAAGCGTTTTCACATACAGACAAACTGCAGCATTATCGTTATTCGATCGTCCACCCTCGCCTGACCCACCCCGCCGCCATTTTAACCAATGAGAAATATAATCTAGATCGTCGCTCCGAATCTTTCCCACGGTGTAACAATAATTTTCCTATATTTTGTAACATATATTACATCTTACAAAATTATTTCTAACGTGATTTTGAATTTAAGACAATTCTCGCCTTTTCGTTTTTTAAGACGCCTATGCAATAATTATTTAAAAATTCTGAGCCGAGATTCAACGAATTATAATTTGTTCTATAATTTTACAATAATTTATTCGTAAGATGTAATACATTTTCTTCGATCTTTTGCTACGCAGATTTAAATTTAAAATATCTCCCGCCTTTCTGTTCTCGGACGTTTATTCGGTATCTTTTTGAAAATAAATATTCAATGTTATGCGAAATTGTGGGCTGACTAATGATCGAAAATCGAGGTGGCTCGAGACCTCTATTTTACAATAATTTATTTGTAGTACATTAATCTTGTAACGTAGATTTTTCAAAGATTTCTCGCCGTTTTTCTTTCAAACATTCGTTCGATAAATCTTTCAAAATAAATGCTGCTTGTTACGCAAATTCGCGAGGCCGATAATCAACAATCGACGGTTTGGAACTTCTAATCTATACATCTATTTATTTACAATATACATAAATTTGCAAAATGAAAAGATAAAATAAAAGTTTTATCAAAATACCGATCACGTAAATTCTATAATAATCTTGAGTCTCGTTTATTACGATATTTAAGTTCTAATAGTTGCTTAAAACGCTCTATTGTTTCTCAAATCGGTGTAAAGCGAATTTCTCGTATTGAATATAAAAATATATTGAATATTATATGTAATATATATATTATATCATATTCTATCTAATTCGATATCTAATTCATGTTCTCACTGTTAATTAAAGGAATATTGCATAAATGATTCTCGAAATAATTAATAATCAAATGACAAGATGTTGGCTTCTTTATAGTTTTATTATTATTTTCTGTATTCTCAATATAGCACAATTTTAGTATACCAATCATTTCAAAATAATTTATTGTGAGACCGTACAGAAGATCATATATTTGTTTCATGGAAAATTCAATTGTTACTAAAAGAAATTATTGTTCTGACATAAAGACCACGTACTACGAACAAATTTGCAATAATATTTTATAAATAATAGTGACAACAATCCAAAAAAAAATTACACAGATAATTAAGTATTAAATACATACATAGGGTGTCCCGAAAGTGTTAAATTTCCTTGAAAGAAGACATTTTCCTTAACGTACTCTATTTTGGCGAATAACAAAGAGCCTGAGCGGAGTGTGTGGAAAAATCCTATCGTAAAAGAACGTGGTATGGCGACATAAATCAGGATTTTGGGTCGGAACGGACCCGGAAACGGCCCATAAATACGGGACAAAGACGGCGGACTTTTGTTTTCGAGGATGTTTGATAAATAAAACGATTCTCGTCGGTTCTCGTTTGTATACACCGGTCGCCGGGCCTCCGAATTCACATAAATACCGGCCGTTCTAGTAATAGATACCGGAGTTAATTTTATTTTTCACGGGCGGAGCGAGGAGCGCCGCGACTCGGAGGAGAAACGCCTCGCTGGCACAATCGGTTTCTTAAATTATCAGCGGCATGATTCATGCTCAATCATTCACGAGACATTGCTCTTTCTCTCGTAACCCTTCCCTCGGGCCCCCCCACCCCGCCTGCCCTCTACATCTCGCCGACGTCTTCTTCTTCTTCTCCGTTTGATATTTTTCCTGGCCGCGAAATAAACGAGCGATTCGAACGAACTGCAAATTCGCGCCGTACGTGGGCGTGAATTATTATGTTGGCGGGAAAAAATTGACCGTTTGAACGCGCCACGCTGCGCCGACGCCCGCCGGGCGTCGCTATAATTGGAAAACAACGTTCCTCTAATTTTCTACGCTTATAATAGCATTTTTATAATTTTAGCGAGCCGATGTCACCGGGACAGCGGCGATCACTGGAACCGGAAACCGAGGATTCGAGGAAAATCGCGAGTCAATTTTCGCGATCGATCGCCCCGTCGAATTTTTCAACGAGCTTATTTTCAATACGAGAAATTCGGTGTACGCCGATTTGAGAAAGAATGCAGCGTTTTAAGCAACTATTAGTATCCGGATATCGTAATAAACGAGATTCAAGATTACAGTAGAATTTACGTGATCGGTGTTTTGATAAAATTTTTGTTTCGTTCGTTAGTCTTTTTATTAGTTCAATTCGTTAGAGAAAACAACAGCGAACATTTTAATCATTTTAGTAACACTGTCCAAGTCGTTATTATATTATTACAGTTTGAATATTATAATAAACTGAATCGAAGATTAAAATACAATTTTTATAATCAATACAAGTTAGAACGAATTTGTTATTTTTTACTGTAATTTTTAATTATCATTTTAAAAACGCATTCACATTTTACAATGGAGAACAATAGAGAACATTTTAATAGTAACAAACGATAGCACCGTATAACTTACTATTATATTATTATATAATCATATTATATAATATGATATATATATTATATATATTTCATATAATATAATTATATAATAATATGATAGTAAATTATATATATATACACATATAATATATATATATATATATATATATTTTATATTATATAATATAATTATATAATAATATAATAGTGTAAAGTAGTATAGTAGTATAATATAATTTATTATACTACTGTAAAATATATATTTATTACATATATAATTTACTATTATATTATTATTATATAATCATATTATATATTATTGTAATTTAATGTGCCACAATGGTGCCGCCGCGTTGCGTTCGACTTACGAGTCGTTCTCCAGAATACCTAACCTCACCGTCGCAGAAGTGCAACGTAAACGAAAACAACGTGTCCCGGCGAATTGTTTAAATATCTCCGGTCATGTTATTATTATCATTATTATTATTATCAGGATGACGAGGGCGCCGATTTTCGAAAAGCAAGCATAAAGTTCGAGGCTCTTCCTGTTATCGTACAGGATGTTAACACGACAAAACCGCACTGTACTATCACGTGTGTACAAGATAGGAAAAATCGTTCGATCGTAGAATGGAAAACAGATTCCCGTTTGTTGGGCGTTACTAAAACGATAACGCTGTGCCCGGTATCAGTGGAGGAGCATCGAGATAACGCTGCACCTAACAACCATTTTTGGCTGGCAGGTTGATGCACGCACGGATATTTCACAATCACTCCTCTCGTTGTTGACGTTCGTCAACGGTGAACAGACCAACGATATTTAACCGGCAACAAATTCCTAGTTTTCACCGACAGGGACTGGCTCTTATCGAGATTCAACAGATCGTTGCATGTATCGTAGGCTTCAGGCGTGGCCGATCATAAATTGATTTTATCTTACGTGCTCTTTTTATCAATTATTTTTGATAAAAATTAATATTAAAAAATATTAAACTGATATTAAGATATTGAAATATTAAAACATTATATTATTAAAATATCATAATATTAAAATATTGAAATATTGAAATATTATAATATGAAAATATTGAAATATTAAAATATTAAATATTGAAATATTAAAATATTAAATATTAATTAATATTAAAATATTAAATATTAATTAATATTAACGCACTTTTGCTATTTTTATTCGCTGAATGTTATTGCGTTTGGTCGACAAGCTGGAATATATTTTTTTTATGAATATTTACTGAAGCAATTTCAAATTGCAAGCTTTTCCCGCCCTTTTATATCCGAAAAAGACCGTTACAGAAAGAGAACAACATGAAGAAACAATGGGAACAGTGTTGCTAACATAAGTATTAAATTCTTTCCGTCGCCTACATTTTCCTCATTTTGTCCACTATTTTTTGTCGAACTTAATTATTGCTATTAATTAATATCATATAAATTATTTATACATCTGCAACGGTTTAGTTATTATTAAAATTATCAATAAGTATAATCACACATTTTCTTAGAATATTTGTGGATGCGATTTAAAGTTCCATACCCCCTCCCGCGCTTTTCTGTTTTAAAAATGACCTTTGGGGAAGCGGAGCGATATTATCGAAATAAGAGACTGGTTTATTCTTCAAATCGTACACCGAATCGTTTTCGAAAAATAAATATTGAATCTGTCGCATAAATTTTCATCTGTCTAATATTTAATAATTATGCAATGCTTGGATACGAAAGTTATTTATCATTGGATCCAAGGATAAGTACTTGGAGACAATGCACTCTTTGTGCCGACTATGGCCGTGTTATTCTACATAGAAAAGTTGTGCAACCTGCCTAGCCCGATGGAATTTTTATTTACGTACCGGGTGGTCCGAACGAAACGCTCGCAAACTGTCCTACATAAATCTAATAGAATCTTGTTCAAATTTCTTTGAAAATGTCGGGGACATCGGTAGAGAAAAATCCTGCGATCTATCCTGCGTTATATAATCGTTATCAATATACAGGGTGGCTCGAATGTAACGTCATAAGTTTCTTACCGTAAGAAACAAATACCACATTTTTCGAATACTAAAAATATTGCTATACAAACGATGTTCCGCGATATTTGTATTTTCATTATAAATTATATACTGGGTGTTCCAATCGAACTGACATTTTATTGTTTTTAGAAAAATACGAGGAAATCTTGATTCAAGGAGAATTAACAGTTCAGTCATATTAATTGGTTGCTCGCGATTAAGTTAAAATAATTGAAAGGATTAACTAACTAAATAATAAATATAAATATCAATTGTTTCGAAAACTACTTACTTGAAGTTAAGGTTCTTGAAGGTAAAGTGGACCTCGACTATACCCGTTGTTTTCACACGGGTCCTTAGAATATCTTGCTCCGTAGGCTGATAATCCCTTGCTCCTAATCGGTCTAGGTCATCCAGGAAACTGAAAATTGATCAAAATAATCGAAATTATTGAATAGCTCGTTAAAACAACGATACACTAGTCTAACAAAGATCGAATAACAAATTCGAAAACTGTTCTACACGTTTAAACAAATCTGAAAGAACTGGATTTTTTTTTATAATATAATATAATATACAGAGTGTCCCAGGTTTTAATGTTCAAACTTTGTCAGTATATTCTATGGCACAAAGTAAGAAAAAAATGTTATGTAAACATAGGTCATATAGAGCTTTATTAAGAAGTTATAACAAAAATTCAGAATAGGGATAGTAATCAACTAAAAAAAAATATAAAAAAATCTTCGATCGATGTCAATCATGTATTGTCAAAAACGGTTATTAATACATTTCGAAATGCAGCAAGTTGATTACTATTTTTATTCTGAATTTTTGTTATAACTTCTTAATAAAGCTCTATATGACCTATGTTTACATAACATTTTTTTCTTACTTTGTGCCATAGAATACACTAACAAAGTTTGAATATTAAAACCTGGGACACCCTGTATACAGTAATGTCTCCCTAACTGACGCTTAAGTTGTACACAAAAATGGACAATTTGGGAAGAGGAGATACGATTATTCGAGCCTTATAGCTTGTTTTTATACTTGTTGACAATTCGTAACTATAAAAATGAACCGATTAAGGCTCCGATAAGGCTCGGACAATCGTATCGCCTCTTCCAAAATTATCCATTTTTGTGGACAACCTGAGCGTCAATTAGAGAGACATTACTGTAATATGTAATTTTTAAATTAGCAACAAATTATCAACAAAATTTCTAGTTCGAATTCATGTGAAATTCTGAATCAGTGAACGCGGTTAGGATTTCTCCACGATTTTATGCGTCGAGACACAGAAGTATATTTAAATGCTATTTAAAAAGTTTCTTTACGATCCGTACGACTCTCGATTACAGAAACGTAGAAATTAATTAAACCGACGACTCCCGACGAAGCCGAGTGCTTCATAAAAGAGAGCATATATCGCGAGCTGATTTTCTTTTTCTCTACTCGGTTCCACATATCTCGCGACCTTTTGTTCCTTTGTCTGGAGCTTCGGGCATAACTTCGCATGCGATTAATAATACTTTATCAGCCGACCGAGGATTTTATGCATTTATTACGCGTACGTGTAACCGCGCAATATACATTCCGGCATGACTTTTAAAGTTTTGATGGTTCACCATCATTTTTCTATCAGACGTTCGAAGTATTTAAGTTCGAACGTATTCGAATTAAGAGATTTGTTCTCAAATTGCAACCTTGTTGTTCATAATTTTCAACCATTCTCAACAATTTTAAACAATTTTCGATCATTTTCAATAATTTTGAATAATATTGAATGATTTTATATTATTCAATATTTCATATTTATAATATTTCATATTATTATTGAATCATTTTCAACCATTCTCGTCAATTTTCAACAATTTTCAATCACTTTCAATAATTTTGAATAACATNTCGTCAATTTTCAACAATTTTCAATCATTTTCAATAATTTTGAATAACATTGAATAATTTTATATTATTCAATATTATCATTGAATAATTTTCAACCAATCTCATAAATTTTCAACAATTTTCAATCACTTCCAATAATTTTGAATAGCATTGAATAATTTTATATTATTTAATATTATTATTGAATAATTTTTAACCATTCTTATCAATTTTCATGAATTTTCAACAATTTTCAATCACTTCCAATAATTTTGGATAGCATTGAATAATTTTATATTATTTAATATTATTATTGAATCATTTTCAACCAATCTCATAAATTTTCAACAATTTTCAATCATTTTCAATAATTTTGAATAACATTGGATAATTTTATATTATTCAATATTATCATTGAATAATTTTCAACCAATCTCATAAATTTTCAACAATTTTCAATTACTTCCAATAATTTTGAATAGCATTGAATAATTTTATACTATTCAATACTATTATTGAACAATTTTCAACCATTCTCAATAATTTTGAACAATATTGAATAACTTTCAACCATTTTCAACATTTCCCGATAATTTTAAATAACTTTTAGTATTATACGTGTTTTTTGTATCTCTGTTAAAAAATTTTAATTTCTCCGAAACAGAATTTTTCAGTTACGTTCGCAGGTGACAAAGTGTAGCCGGCTATGTTGCGGACGAGCTGTAGACGTCGTCTGTGCCAGGGGTAAACGACATGGCACTCTGAATCGACTTTGCAATCCAGGTCGAGGGACTCGATCGATTTCTACGATGCGTGTACGCGTTTAGCCGCGATTCGCCGACAGTCCGGCCGCCGTTCATTGCCAAAGTTGGATGCACCTGTACAGGTCTC